TAAACACTCGTGAGATTAATGCATGCAAGCACTTAAGAGTTACTCGACAAGTCGCAAGTATCATCATGAAATGATTGACGACTTGTATTTTCATATCTTCGGTTCAGTGCATGTAATGAAGACAATAATATTACTAGAAAATACATGCATGCAGAAACCCTCGCCTTGCTGACAAAACCGTTGTATTTTCCGAACATGAAGTATCTAAAGTAGTTGTCATGGTAACAGGATAATTTTTTAAGAATATTCTTACAAATGAAAATCGCCTAAAAATGTCACTTTTAATTACAAAATTATCAATTTCCCAACATATATATGTTAGGTATGTAATTATACGTAATACAAGCTTCAATTTTTCGGTAAAATTCAACCACAAACAATTCACAAAACGTTTTAAAGTGTTCTTTAATATAAAACTAAACTGCCTTTAACTATTAAATGGCTTTATCGATAAACTTTGAGTTTGCAATAAAATGATTTCAAATTCTCGCTTGCAAATAACTTTGCTTTATTTTTTATTTAAAAAGTTCAATATAATAAAAAAGGGAATCAATATTAAAGATACACTGAAATTATATGCTGTCTTGTTTAGTTGTTTCATATTAGTATACGCAAAGGCCGTCGGGTTTTAAAGCCATTATAAAATCAATATTTAAAACAAACTTACCTTCGTTAACGTTGGCTCCCTTCTTTTAGCCGATTCTTTCGCCCTTTCTTTATGAGAGAACTCTTGAAATTTACAAAATCTTGCAAAAATGCGGGTAAAAAATTCATCAATTATCAAATCAAGAAATCTTTGCTATTTCGCTGTCGTCATGCAGTCGTTATAATGCAAACTTTAAATTGGACCAATCAGTGTCCGTTATTCATGACAGTCCGCCATATTTTTGAGATCAGTGAGGATGACCACCCATCGTTGGTGACCGACGCCCGCGCTCATTGATGAACTTTAGACTTCGCTAATGCTTTCGTTTCCCCGGGTGTAAATAGCCGGGGGGAATTAGTACCCTCGCACGGCGCTTCGCTCCGCCGGCTCGGGGATAATTCGATTCAGTGAAGCAATACTGATCAACTATGAATTTTTTCTGTGTTGGTGTAATGTTCTCAGGAGAATATGATGCTTGTGATGTTACTCTGAGTGTGTATCCATACTTGGCAGGCTTGAAAAACTGATTACATGATTACATATCACATACTCGAACCGACCTGACCGCGTAGCTCAGTTGTCAGAGCATTGGGCTAGTTTTCTAAAGGTTGTAGGTTCGATTCCCACCGTGGCCATGTCAGGCATGTTTTTCAAGCCTGCAAGGTGTGGATATGCTCACAGAGTAACATCACAAGCATCAATATCGACTAATTCCTCACAATAGATTTAGACGTTAACGACATTGCAGCGCTTTATGGCCTTTGAAAGTCAAGCGAGATCGCACACTATGAAATTACGCAATTGCGTGATAAATATATCAACTAGCCATACCATTCGCTGAACAGAACGTATCTTCTTTGAAATAGCTTTGTTCAAATCATTATCAAAAGCACTATATGGAGTATGATTTTCGAGCACGTATCTTCAAATTTGCATCTTTTATCACGGTATTTCCGTCCATTTCAGGTTCGGCTGTGAGCTAATCCCAACCCGAAAGGCAATATAAAACGTCAAAACAATACGACCTTGGTATCCTAAGACTCTGGAAATGCCAGACATCGATTCTAAATGCCAAAGTGCTGTATACGCGTGATTTTGACGTAGTCCGGCTGCGTAGTGTAGTGTATGGCATATGCGTGCGAGAAAAACAGATATTTTGAAAATTTTAAAATAAATATTTCTACTCGCCGTATTCAAACGATACTTTATACATCAAAACGCTTGAATGCAAGAAATATTTTTACGCATATGGCCTTTGAGAGAATAACGGAAACTTTAGAAGACATTTAAATTTGTTTCTCGAAATGCGATCGATAATATGTTTGCGATGTTACTCTGAGTGCATATCCACACCGGGCGAGCTTGAAAAATATGCCCGGCCACGGTGGGATTCGAACCTATGACCTTTAGAATACTAGCCCAATGCTCTTCCAACTGAGCTACGCGGTCAGGACGGTTCGAGTAAGTGATATTTCCGAACAGTACCCAATTCGTTCAATACCAATGTGTTCTAGTAATATGAATATTTTTTCCGTGTTGGTGTTGTGTACTCAGGTAAATAATATGTTTGCGCTGTTACTCTGAGTGCATATCCACACCGGGCGAGCTTGAAAAATATGCCCGGCCACGGTGGGATTCGAACCTACGACCTTTGGAATACTAGCCCAATGCTCTTCCAACTGAGCTACGCGGTCAGGACGGTTCGAGTAAGTGATATTTCCGAACAGTACCCAGTTCGTTCAATACCAATGTGTTCTAGTAATATGAATATTTTTTTCCGTGTTGGTGTTGTGTACTCAGGTGAATAATATGTTTGCGCTGTTACTCTGAGTGCATATCCACACCGGGCGAGCTTGAAAAATATGCCCGGCCACGGTGGGATTCGAACCTACGACCTTTGGAATACTAGCCCAATGCTCTTCCAACTGAGCTACGCGGTCAGGACGGTTCGAGTAAGTGATATTTCCGAACAGTACCCAGTTCGTTCAATACCAATGTGTTCTAGTAATATGAATATTTTTTCCGTGTTGGTGTTGTGTACTCAGGTGAATAATATGTTTGCGCTGTTACTCTGAGTGCATATCCACACCGGGCGAGCTTGAAAAATATGCCCGGCCACGGTGGGATTCGACACGGAAAAAATATTCATATTACTAGGACACATTGGTATTGAACGAACTGGGTACTGTTCGGAAATATCACTTACTCGAACAGTCCTGACCGCGTAGCTCAGTTGGAAGAGCATTGGGCTAGTATTCCAAAGGTCGTAGGTTCGAATCCCACCGTGGCCGGGCATATTTTTCAAGCTCGCCCGGTGTGGATATGCACTCAGAGTAACAGCGCAAACATATTATTCATCTGAGTACACAACACCAACACGGAAAAAATATTCATATTACTAGAACACATTGGTATTGAACGAACTGGGTACTGTTCGGAAATATCACTTACTCGAACCGTCCTGACCGCGTAGCTCAGTTGGAAGAGCATTGGGCTAGTATTCCAAAGGTCGTAGGTTCGAATCCCACCGTGGCCGGGCATATTTTTCAAGCTCGCCCGGTGTGGATACGCACTCAGAGTAACATCGCAAACATATTATTCACCTGAGTACACAACACCAGCACAGAAAAAAATCATATTACAAGAACACATTGGTATTGAAGGAACTAGATACTGTTCCGAAATATCACTTACTCGAACCGTCCTGACCGCGTAGCTCAGTTGGAAGAGCATTGGGCTAGTATTCCAAAGGTCGTAGGTTCGAATCCCACCGTGGCCGGGCATATTTTTTAAGCTCGCCCGGTGTGGATATGCACTCAGAGTAACATCACAAACATATTATTCACCTGAGTACACAACACCAGCACAGAAAAAAATATTCATATTACAAGAATACCTTGGTATTGAAGGAACTAGATACTGTTCCGAAATATCACTTACTCGAACCGTCCTGACCGCGTAGCTCAGTTGGAAGAGCATTGGGCTAGTATTCCAAAGGTCGTAGGTTCGAATCCCACCGTGGCCGGGCATATTTTTCAAGCTCGCCCGGTGTGGATATGCACTCAGAGTAACATCACAAACATATTATTCACCTGAGTACACAACACCAGCACAGAAAAAATTCATATTACAAGAACACATTGGTATTGAAGGAACTAGATACTGTTCCGAAATATCACTTACTCGAACCGTCCTGACCGCGTAGCTCAGTTGGAAGAGCATTGGGCTAGTATTCCAAAGGTCGTAGGTTCGAATCCCACCGTGGCCGGGCATATTTTTCAAGCTCGCCCGGTGTGGATATGCACTCAGAGTAACATCACAAACATATTATTCACCTGAGTACACAACACCAGCACAGAAAAAAATATTCATGTTACAAGAACACCTTGGTATTGAAGGAACTAGATACTGTTCCGAAATATCACTTACTCGAACCGTCCTGACCGCGTAGCTCAGTTGGAAGAGCATTGGGCTAGTATTCCAAAGGTCGTAGGTTCGAATCCCACCGTGGCCGGGCATATTTTTCAAGCGCGCCCGGTGTGGATATGCACTCAGAGTAACATCACAAACATATTATTCACCTGAGTACACAACACCAGCACAGAAAAAATATTCATTTCTGAATTGTTTGAGTGAATTGCTCTTTATTATTAAAGTATCCAAAATTGGAACAAAGCCGAACACAATTTGAAACTGACGTCTTTAGCTATCTTCTGTGAAAATTTGAGAGAAATTCGTTAAAACCCGCTGGAGCACAACTCGTTTGAAAATCAGTAATTGCCGTAAAATTCTTCGGGAGAAAATTGAATTTGAATATTACATTTTCAATGTTTTTCTTATTACAACGAAATGTATTTTATTAAATAACTCTGCGAGTTTTCAACATTTTTCGTTCAAACTTGGTCAGATAGTAGAACTAGTCTAATGCTTTCATGGAGACCAATAAAAAAATTTTAGGCAAAATTAACACTCAAAGGTGTTCTGTAACCTTAATCAGGGGCGGATCTAGGGGTCGTCAAACCAGTCACGCGACTAACGTAAAAATTGCAAACTTAAAGTCTTAAATATTCGACCAATAGTCCAGTTATTTTTTATCATGCAGCGACACCTTATAATAGTCCAGTATC